TGCTATCGATGTTTAAATGCGGTTCCGATGCGATCGCATGGATTCCTAACCTCAAGAATCTGGGCTTTTCATCGCTAAGTATTCCCCAAACTGTGAGTGAAATCAATGAAATGAGTTCGAAGAAGAATTTCAGTCAGGGATGTGTGGTTTGGTTGAAGCAGTCGTTCCTCCAGTCGGACATTCAGAAGATCTTAAGACACGCCCGAAAACTGCCCGAAAAGACCGCAAACTTTTATAAAGAGTTGAATCGATTCAGAAGGGCTGCCCTTTCGTTCGGATTTTATTCATTGATTGAAGGGTTGGCCAGTATTCTGGAGCGCGAGTGTCGGATGTTACCCGGGTCTGCACACCCAGAGGCCGCCCTACAACTCACTCACGCCGTCAACGCTTTACGACTGCCCACCGACGCCCACAGCTATAATCAGTACATAACTCCACTCGAAACTAAATTTTCCACATAATTCATGCATTCATTAATTGTATAAATCATTGAACTGAACAATAAATAATTTTTACTTTCATTATTTATGAATTCTCATAAAACAATTGAACACAATTTTATTTCTTATTGTAAGTTATATTGTACGCTCATATATTTGACTGATGATGCGAGATTTTCTAATTGGTACTGTAATATCGAAATACAGTATTATAATTTATAATTATTAAAATTTGTAGCTATACAAAATAAATTGTTGCTTTATCAAATATTTGAACATTAATCAAATCAAGCAAATTCTTATCCAATACAGTATTATAATGAATATTTGTCTTCTGTATTGAGCATTTAAGAAATAATATACAGATTAAAATCAATACAGTATATCTGAAATTTTGTTTTACTGTACTATACATTAGAAAAAATATTTTAATTAAACAAAATACAAAAAACTTTCAAATGTGTTTTTGCTTTTTAAAAACTGCTCTTATACTAATGTATCAGTAATTCTGTACAATGAATGTCAGTTAGAGAAGACTTAGAGGTTACCTAAAACTTGAATCTTTTGTTTCATTATTCTTACATTGCTTAGATACTACTTTTGTATGTAAGTCATATACAGTATGATATATCAATGGTTATTCTGTAGTCAACAAGAAGTAGAATTACGTCTACCGTCTAATAGTAGTAAGCAATTGCCTCGAGGCTAATATGACTGTTGGATCACTATTCCATTGGCTATACATTAATACAAATGTGTTTTTACGTAAATAAAGAAAAGTTATGCTTTAATAAAATGTACCCTCACATACCTTACAAGTTGTAAGTTACAACTCATATACTCACAAGTTATCCCTGAGCGCATCATAAGGCGTGGACCACACTTAATAATCATCTCCAATATTCCCACCAAATTTTTATTCACAAAGTTATAAACATCTTATAAAGTGTTGTGTTTATTGAATTTTAATGTTTCACTCAAAACTTATAGTGATTTCATAAAAGAGTCACAAATTTTTTATTAAAATACTACATCTCCTCGATTAGCTTTGTTTCAAAGTTTTAATAATACATCACTTTAAAAGAATTCAAACTTATTTATTAAGCAAGCATTTATCAATTATAATATTTAATATGTGGACAAAGAATATTCTGTGTTATCTATCTGTCTTTTCAATTTATGTAAGTTTTTCCTCAATTACCTAATTATATATGAAATCTATACTTAAAAAGGATTAGAAAACAATTCAATGAGTTCTAAGAAAACTATAATTAGTTCTAAGAATTCAATTTTGTAAATTCAATTTGTTGTATAATATAAAATTATTTTATTTAAATATACAACCATAAAATTATATACAGTACTAAACAAATTAACTGGTGAATAATTTATTTTATACTTACAATATTATTGTATAACACTAATAACTTTGTTTTAAACTTAATGTATAAGATTTTTAAAAATATTGATTAAACTAAATTTATTTAATCTATTTAATATATATTATAGTTTGCGTTGTGTTACTCTATGCCCAAATGGGCCTCAATTGGAAACTATTGCCAATCAGGAGATGACTGTCCGTATGACCATTGCTGTGCAATCGGTTAGAATAATAACCATTACAGTACTAAAACAGTATCTGTATTAATATAAGTTTACCTAAAAATTTGAAATATAATTTTACTCTTAAATAGGATTTATTCGATATAGTGTACCTCAATGCCAACGGTTGGGTCGGGTAGGGGATTGGTGCAGGACTTCTAATGAACCACAAAACAAAACGCTTGCCTATCCTAATGGAGAATACTTTGAATTCTCACAAATTTATACCCAATTCTGTCGGTGCGGTGCGGGACTAGTATGCGAAAGATCCAAATGTACACCCCTTACAAATGTCAATTATGAATCCTCTTTCTTTGATGACTATTTTTAACACAAATCAATTAAAAACTCATTGAAATTCGTTGCTTGAAAATAATTATAAATTCAGTCAATAATTGCGAATCAAAATTT